CAAGAAAACAGTCTTGATCATCCATAAAGGACTGCATAATGGGACAAAAATAACAAAACAGAAAGTAGGGATCCAAACTCCAGGGTTGTGGAGATGGAGTGTTCTAGGACTATTTTGGTTTGTTAATTTCACTCCCTTTTTCTAAGAACAACTGCATAAAGAAATGCCAAATTTTGATTGGGTGGCAAACATTTTTTGTTCTGATTAGTGCTGTCTTATTAGTAGACTGTTGTTTCTAATGGGCTTAATGCTATTTTTATATTGTTATTTTTTTTACTTTTATTGTGATTTTTGGCAAGCTGCAGTCTGATGTTAAGAAACAACTCAGTCCATTACATTCTATAGTGATAGTGTCCTTTTGTAGAATCCCTGCAGTATCTTTCTTTTTTATTTCTTGTAAAGTTTCGTGCATCTGAGTCTTGTCTCATTATTAGAGCCAAGATCTCCTTAAGGCATTTTTGTGCTTGCGGCAGAAAATCCAAATGACAGCTCCCATGATGATAAAAATAAAGGAGTTTATTTATTTCATTTATGAGGGGCCCTATAGCAGATGCTCTCGGGGCGACATGGATAACACAACACAATAAAATCATTAGTAAAACAAGACACATCAGTGAGCAACATAAATTAAATTAAAAGTACCAGTAATGTGCCATAAGATAAGCAGATGATAAACAACAGAATTCACGGAGAAGGACAGTTCTCCGTGAATTTCAAATTGTTTAAAAGTCTTTACTTACATTTCAAATTGTTTAAAAGTCAGTAAGGATAATGTCTGATGCAGAGAGATCAATAAGGCTGGAAATAGCTATCAGGGGTGGGCTTTCCACAATTGAGAACACCACAGAAAAGTGCCATTCAAAAGTACCAACTTATCTTAGTATAGAGATAGACAAGTAACAGGGTCTCCAATGATCCTTTTAGGTCATGGGAAGCGGAGTGTAAAAGTGGAGAGATCCTTCGGATAGAATATCCCCAAGTAATGAAGTCTTCTAATTCAAAAACAATATTTTGAATTGATCCTAGAAATTAATCAGATACCCAGTGAAGTTGATACAGTACTGGAATAGAGGATAACAAAGGGCCCTTCCATACAGGGCCCATATCCTGGGGCCTGTCGGATTTTTACCTGAGCTGTCCAAATGACAGCTCAGGTAAAAGCGAAGAATTTTAAGACACAACAGATAAACCCTGCTTTGTCGTGAATTATTTAGATATCTCATTAGATCCGGGCCTTCCTGAAAGGTCCAGTTCTAATGGGGTATGGGTCCTGTGGGGACATACTACTGGGACAGTCCTAGGAGTCTGTCCCCACAGCCCAATTCGATCCTTGGAGCTCGATGATCCTGAAGAAGCAAAGCGGGCAGTCACCCCCCCCCCCAATCCCTGCCAAAAGCCCTAAAAATAACAGAAAACTTAGTGGGTTGCCATGATGCCTCTGCACACCACATGCCAGGAGGTGGGGGGGGGCGGTCACATCACTCCTGGCCCCTCCTCCCTCCCTTCTGGTGCATCAGTGGTTCATTCCAGGAGGCTTGCAGAGAGGCATCACGGCAACCCACTAAGTTTCTCTTGTTTCTAGGGCATGGGGCAGTGGCCTGATGCCGTCTTGAATGTTTTCGGGATGGCACGGGATGGCATGGGGACAGCCAATGGCAAAGCCCATTTTTTTCCCAGGGTGTGGGACTTAAAGCCTCTTCGGAACAGGTTTCTTTAACCCGCTCCAAAGCAAGTTTAACATATGTCTGGAAGTGCCCAAAGACTAATTCCAATAAACTGGAACAAAATAAAGGTTTTCCTAAGTGAAAATGAACTCACTAAACCAATGGGACCTATGTCTTTTGAGTAAGCATGCACAGAACTGAGATATAAATAATTGCCAGTATTCCCATTTTAATGCTATCTCAACATCTGGTGCCTAGAATGGGCTGTCTCATTCTGATGAATAGTAAGGTTTCCCTTTGATCTCTTCGATCAAATGGATCAACCTGGTTTTTTCATTCCGTCTCCTTGAAAGCCTTTCAACATTTATCCAGCTTTATAGGTTGCTGGCTTAATGATGGTTGTCCCATATGAGATGAACTCGCAATTTTGGTGCAAGATTATGGCAAGTGGAATTTACCCTCCTACACCTTTTACTGCAGATGTTTATATTAAGATTACAATTATTTCAAATCTTGTTCCAGCAACATATGTGTTGCTGTTAAATATTGTATGACTATCAGGAAATCTTGGTTATGCAACCCTAGCTCTCCCAACAAAGATTAGTGGATGTCGGGAGAAAGAAAAGAGTTTCTCCTTCTTGAAATAGAGGTGGAATCTGACCATATGCTTTCAGTCACAAGGAAAACAAATACTGTGTGTTGGAATGAATTTCTTGCCAGGAGCAACATGTTGGAATGTGTCTGACTTCTTTTGCCAAAGGAAGTCATCTGACTCGGGAACTGTGGCTTTTGATTTGAGTAGAACATATGCTTCATGGGCAACATTGTTATTTCCCAGCCGTACTTGAGTGGAGGAGAGCTTCTGAGAATACAGGTAATGTATAGCAGACCACATTTCCTGAAGGTCTGTGTAGGGCTTTGTCAACACATTTGCATAATGCTGCATATTCAAGGTTGTGTGTTCTCTGCATTGTTTATTAGCCCACTATGACTCTTTCCCCCCATTAAAAGCAAACAAATGCCAAAGCAAGATAATGTGCCAAGATGTGAATAACAAACAAACAAAAACTGCAGTAAATAAGAAAAGTCATCAGATAAATTACTTTCATGAATTTTTGAAAGCGGCAAAAGTAAGGATATGCATATGTCCATCAATAGACCCATAAAAATTGGGAGTTAGAAAGCCTCGATTGCCCTGTTAAAGAGTTATGGCATAGAACAGTTGAAAAACCATTTATGATGAGGCCAGATGAGTAAGTATGGATAGGTGTCCCTGAGAAGGATATACTGTGTTTGGTCTCATAACTGGAGCAATCCTGCTTCTTGAAGTCACCCATCAGTTAGGAAAAATGGGTCAGGCACACATGTTTTTGAACAGAATTGATAGAAGAATGGAAATACATGGAGAAAGCAGACATACAGAGATCCAAAACGATGGAAAATCAACTCTTACATATTTTATTAGAAATTGGCCACACTATCTGAAGCATATCTGTACAGCTATAAAGGCAAGGAAGCTCACTTTTTCCTCTAATAAATTTTCTGCTAACGCACTTCAGTATAATTTTACTCAGTACTCAGTCCCAACTATGATTGAGGTGCTTTGGTTGTGGGTTTTTGTGCATAAGCTTCCACATTTTACAGAATTTGAAAACAGTGGAACAAGGTGTGTGATAACTTTCCATTGTTGTGCTCCATTTCCCCAAATATTGTGCCTTTCCACAAAATATAAATTAAAGGTTAAAAGAAAGTAGAGCCACATAACGGATTTTGATAGGAGCCATCTGTCTGGAAACACTTTTTACTTCCAGTTACATGTTCATATAAGATTGCAGTTTCAAAAGGTAGAGTTTTTGCACAAGATCGTATTGCTTTATTTGTCTGCATTCCTGTGAAATTCCAGGAAACACAGCATTCCGTGTGGTAATGAAGTGTTTTCAGACATTATGGGCAGATACTGAGAACAGTGTAGGATATGCGACCAATTACAGATGGGCTTGATGCTTTATGTTTGTTTGTTTGTTTGCCATATTTATATCCTGCCTTTCTCAATCCTGAAGGGGACACATATTTCACTCTGTGTAAATAGAAAAGACAAAACAAAGGAGGTGTGTGTGTGTGCCTTCAAGCTGTTCTAGTTAAATCACAGATGAGGCAGGAGAACCGTGTCTTCACAGTATACAACTGTCATAGGCTGTCACAATGTTGGTCTATTATGGCCAACATCCCATTATATATTTCCGTAACTAATTCTGGCGTAATTCAGAGTTTCTTTCCTTTCCTGTCCTGCATCCTTTCTGCAATCCTGAAACTTCCAGATGGATCTCTAGTCTTCCAGTTGAAGGTCTTTGCGTATGTGAAAGGCTGTGGGGAAAAGGGTGGATTTATCAATTCTTGTACAATTAATAGAATGCAATGAGAGTATGTTGTTCAGTCCTTGCCATTATTAAATAGAGTTTTGGGGTTGATTTTTTGACTTTGGTAGTTCTAGACATGCATGAGTATAGTTTATAAGGTTGCCTTTCTCAGCGGCCATTACCAGGCACGAGAATGCTCTACCAAGGGAGTCTGGTTTTACTCTGTCTGCAGGCATGCAAAGACCTCTTATTTCAACAGGCCTTTGACCTGCAGGCTGGTCTGCTCTTGGTGGTTATTTCACAGATTATTTATTTATTTATTTAAAACATTTATACCCCGTCCTTCTCAACCTCTGTGGAGAGACTCAGAATGGCTTCCAAACAGGCAACAATCCGATGCCAAACTTAATGTAAAACACATAATAAATACATCCACAAAATTAAAATAATTCTAAATATGCATTAAGAACCTGCTCACCAGATTAAAATCACCAGAATTAAAATCGTCTTCCAAAGCAGTCCAAGTCCGGTCCAATAAATCTTGTCTTTCCCAGTTCACAAACTATTTTGTGAATGCTGGTCCCCTTAACCCATTTAAGCTTCTTCCGGAAGGTCAGGAGGGAGGGAGCGGATCTAACCTCATTGGGGAGGGAGTTCCACAGGTTAGCTGTTGGCTATCCCCTTTCATCTTGTGTTTTTAATGTACTTGTTCTGAAGCTAGTGTAAAATAAATACTTTATTTTAATGTTATTGTTTGTTTTTGTGTTTGCATTTTGAGCAGAAAAAATTAAGATATATTAAACTTTTAAAATAAAAAAACACATTCTTTCTTGGAAGACAAAAATAAAATGGGTGTACTTTTTCATATTCATGTTTTCCAAACAAATATATTGGTATGTGATGCTAAAGCCATGGAAAGCTTGGAGCTGAAATGTTGTAATAACAACTGCTGCAGTGATCCGCCTTTCTCCTTTTCCAGGTGACCTGGTGTCTCGAGCAATGCATCACCTGCAGCCACTCAGTGCAAAGCAACACAGCAACAGCACTCCCATGCACCAAAAGCAGGGGTCAATATACTGGGAACCTGAAGCTTTGTACACACTCTGCTATTTTATGCACTACCCACAGATGGAATGGGAGAACCCGAACGTGGAACCCTCCAAAGTCACCCTCCAGACAGAAAGGTAATAGCAGTTTTATTGACAGATGCAGACTTTTATGTTGAGTTACCAGACAAAGATTCAGCACTGTAGACTTCCCCATTAAGTCTGTTTTGGTTACATTTTCTTTTTCATGTTGGAATAAATTTTGCCTGCCATGATGTGTTCCACTGCTGGCCCAGAATATATCGAAAATCACTCCCAGTGACTACATCTTGCAGATTGGTTCCAGATGTCTGCTTTGGAGAGATCTCCCTTCCCCAACCCTGCTCTCTTTCTGTCTCTTGGCCGTGCCTCATTTTTTTGGAAAGCAAAATTAGAGGGTCTGATGGTAACTTAACAAGTTTGGTTTAAAATATGCTTTTTAACAAATGCTATGGATTCAGCAACTATAATTTGAGAAACAGAGATTGAGTAAGATTCAGTAAGCTTTAGAGTTTATTGCACAGCTAATCGTATTTGTTGATATACAGACAGAGACCTGAAATCTGTCCATCATAGAGGTCGTATTTAGCCAAGCTTTTGTGGCTCAGGAAGGCTAGGAATGAGTGTGTGTAAGTGTGATAGGTGAGAAAATAGAAGAAAATGCCCTAACTTCAAAAATAATTTTGATATAAAGAACAACATTTTGGGAGTCACTGAGGATTCAATTACAACAGCCTGAATTGGCCAGAAAATGGTTATGAAGTTGTTGCCCTTGAACTATCTCTGAACAGATTCTGGATAAGCACTGGTTGGTTGTAACAAAATGTGTTGCAGAATCCCTGGAGCTGAATGTGATTTTTAAAAGCCAGTTATTAGGTTATGGAAGGCCAGCACAATACATGATCCACAAAGTCTATCTGAATATATCAGTAAAGCCAGCTCCAGGTGTGTACTGCCCCATTTAATAATAATAATTAATAATCTTTATTTATACCCCGCCACCATCTCCCCAAAGGGGACTCGAAGTGGCTAACATGAGGCCAAGCCCAAAATTACAGTACAGCAAAATAAAATACAAGAAGAAAAAATACCATCAAAATAAATACATGAAATTACAAAATAAAATAAACAGTTTCAAAATAACACAATACAGAAATTGTATGGAACAGAGGCTAATATTTGGAGGATGGAGGAACTACCCAAATGAATATAACAGGAAGTGCAGGCAACAATGAATCCATAGAGATTCACACTAAGCAAAGTTGAAGAAATGTATTTAGTTTGTATGCACTGTATTTTTCAAACTAGTTTTTAAAAGGGAGTCCTGATGCTGTATTCATTTGCTAGGCTAAACTAGAATAGGCAAACTGAACCAATGGAGTTATATAAATGTCAACTTTCTAATTGCTAAGTGATAAAATCACAAAGTTGTAAAAGACATCAAGGGCCATCTAGTCCAACCCCATTCTGCCATGCAGGAATATACAATCAAAACATTCCTGACAGATGGCCTTTCAGTGTCTGGTTAAAAACCTCCCAATAAAAAAAAACTCCATCACATTCCAAGGCAGCATTTTTCATAGTCGAACAGCTCTTACTATCAGAAAGCCTTTCAGTGTGTCTGTTAGTAACAATTTGAAGTAGGCTTTGTTTTGCAAAATTTGGTCCCTTCACATAGATACACATTTCAGCAAACATTTTTAACATTCATTTCGATTCAACTAAACAAACCTACAAATATATAAGCAAATAGAAATATATACAAGAAAGCAAATTAGAGAAAACAATATCCCTACAGAAACAAAACAATTAATTTTTTTCTTAGTATATCAAACTAAACTACAACAACTGACAAAACTCAATTGAAAACAGTTGTCCTAACCTACACTACTAAACGCATACTACACACCTCTAATCTCTAAGCTTTACACTCTGTGCCTGTTGATTAACTTCTCAATTTTCTGCTCCCTTAAAATATCTCTGTATTGTAGCATAATGTAAAATAAACCACGTGTAGTTCATTTTTTTACAGCCCACACACTGCCTTGCCAGAGAAAGAAAACATACCACGCAGATGACCAATAAAGAACAAGTAGTTTACTCTTCGTAATTCAGAAAAACATATGTATAATGTGGTCAGTTGCTCAACTCACATAATGTCCTTTTATGAGAGATTTCAAATGGTCTTTGTCCATGTAGATAAACTCCTTCAGCAGCTCAGTGAAGCGAGAGCACACGCCAACCCCTGTCTCTCTGTTTGCTTCTTTCTCTCTGCTGTTCCAAGCACCTGCATATCTGAAGCCTGAACAAAAATGTAACAGTATCTAAAAGTTCCAGGCTCAACCTGTTCCCCGGGCATAGCCTGACCAATCAGCTTAATGCATCTTATTTTATAGTTGACACACACACACTCACTGATTCCTTACATGTATAACCACCCTTCTATTTTCAGTAACTCTGTTCTAAACCATAAAGACATCAAGACAGTAATCTTTCTCCTTGATCAGCGTCAACACTTCATCCATCTCAGCTAATTCACTCCTCCTCCTCCTTCTTCTTCTTCTTCTTCTTCTTCTTCTTCTTCTTCTTCTTCTTCTTCTAATATTTATATCCCACCGAAGGGAACTCAAAGCGACTATGTTCAATTTTAGAGAATATTTTGAGACTGAGCAGCATCCAAGGCAGTAAATCAGTAACAACAAACCCAGGCCAAGTTAGTTTTAAAAATGTTAAGCAGCCACACCACAGTCTGATACAGTTATGTTGCCACACACACTAAACTGAATTTATCAGCTTACATTTATGAAGTAGTTGGAAAAGGGATTGTATTAAAACTAGAGGGGAAAAGTCTGTTTCTCTTTAAACCATCTTTGACAAAATTCTCTTTCTCTGGAAAACCACTTTAGGAGTGTGGTGATGTGGTAAAGGCTGGAATAAGCATTCTGTATTGTTGCCAGGAACTTGAGGCTAACTTTGGAAGGAACAAAGATTCCTCTGCTGCCTAATCAGATGTGCTTTGGTGTTTTAGCGCCAGAAATTTCAAGTGCAAAGGATAGTCTAAGAAGCCCAGATCTTTCCACTGGACTGAGTTATGTAATCTGCTTTCCTCTTCTGCCCCAGTTCTCATGCCATCTCACAAGAGCAATTGGTTAAAGTGGCTCCTAGTTGTGCTTTGAAAAGTTTTCCTTTTGTGTTTTTATTTCCACCGCAGGGACATCAGCGGCATTCCCTATTGTGAGCCGTTCTTTACAGGGTGTGATTGATTGCTGCATTTTCCATTATGAATAGAACATTTTCTTTCTCTCTCTGACATCTGCAGGAAAAAAAATGCATTATTTTCTGTTGTAATTTTTCTAAGCTTTTTGGCTTTAATATTATCTTAGTTCCAGATATTTTCTCTGATCCTCATTTTTGCTTTTATGCTAGCTTTTTATATTTGTTTTCAAGCAAGTAGCTGTATTCTCTCGCTGCCCTCATAATCGGAGTGAAGAATTCCTTGAGTTCTGCCAGTGTTAAGTAGTTTCTTTGGGTGCAAACACACATACTGCTGTGAGGGGAATAGTGTCTGTTTCATTGCTTTGTATTGATATACCAGTAGTTCTGTTGTGAGGCAAACTCTTTTAAAAAGCGATAACAGTACACAATTGTGTGCAAATTCAAACACTGGAACTTACATATAAAAACACACTTGGCTGATATTTCTGACAGGGTAAACTCTTTCCCTGCTCTGACCAATTTTGGGTGCATCTACACTGTAATTACAGCAGTTTGACACCACTTTAATTACCATGGCTCTGTGCTATGGAATCTTGGGACTTGTGGTTTTGCAGGATCTTTAGTCTTCTCTGCTAAATTGTGTTGGTACCTCACCAAACCACAATTTCCATGATTCCGTAACATGGGGTGGTGGCAGGTGTCAAACTGCAGTAATTCTGCAGTGTAGATGCACATTTAGTTACTCCCTTTAAATTGTTTATAGATCAACATCCTTGCTTCCAAGTCAATATCAAATGCAATTGGTTAAAGTGGCTTCTAGTTGTATTCCATGTTATTTTCCTTCACTCTTGCTGGATCTAGAGGGTAGACCCATATGATCCAGTTCAATGCAGTTAAACTGCACTGTATGAGTTTATACTGACCATATAATGCAGTTTCAAACTGCATTATATGGCAGTGTAGATACAGCCTCTGTTTATGCTTAAGCCTTCTGAGCTCTCCGTTACTGACAGAAAAAAGCCTTCAACCATGGCTAGCCAATTTTTAAAGGCTTGTGGTTTAAGCTATGAGTTAGAACAGAAACCATTTGTCACACTGGGTATGTGTGTGTGTGTGTAGCTGCAATATAGATTAGGTTTGTGCATGAAAGGCATTTCTAACTGGCTGCTTCAAAGTTTTCCGCTTATGTGTTATGTCTGAATCAATCTTTTCTTATTTAAGCAGCCATTCCTCTGCAGTGTGGAACTTTGGTATTTATTTATTATTTATTTATTTATTTGGAGCATTTATTAACCGCCATTCTCAGCCCACTCGGGCGACTCACGGCGGTGTACAGTACAAAAGGCAATTCACACAAAGACAAGTACAACAGCATATTAACCATACAACAATACAACAGTTAAAATTACACTAACTAATCCGCTTCGTCTCGTAATAGAATCGTGACCAATCTCGTATTCCTTGTACCATTCCAGTCGTCTTTACCACATTACTATAGCACTTAATTAAATGCCCTCTCGAACAGCCACGTCTTGAGGCTTTTTCGGAAGGACAAAAGAGAGGGCGCCTGCCTGATGTCTGTAGGGAGAGTGTTCCACAACCGGGGGGCCACCACTGAGAAGGCCCTCTCTCTCGTCCCCGCCAGACGTGCCTGTGAGGCAGGCGGGATCGGAGAAGGGCCTCCCCAGACGATCTCAAGGTCCTCGTGGGCTCATAGGCCAAGATGCGGTCTGAAAGGTATTTTGGGCCGGAGCCGTTCAGGGCTTTGTAGGCCAACACCAGCACCTTAAATTGGGCCCGGTAGCAGATCGGCAGCCAGTGGAGCTGGAACAACAAGAGCGTTGTATGCTCCCTGCATCCCGCTCCTGTTAGTAACATGGCTG